TTGGAAGATCAAGTCTCTGATTTTGTGCCATGTGTTTTTTTTCCGTTTCTGCATTAATTGCTGTTTTACAATGTTGTTTTGAGATTTAGTGACAGGAAGATATGCATGTTGGGTCTGATCTTTCATTACAGGAAAGCCACATGGCTTAGTTGTTAGAATCCTGAATTTATTTAGTCTATTTTCAAGCCCATTTCAATGCAAGGGACAGACTAGCGAAAGACTATCTCCATTTGTGAAGTCACATTATTTTGTTTAAATTATTTTCAATCTGTGACGTGTGAAGTTTTATTTGTACTGCCTATCTTCCTTATTGGTTTTATTTTTACTAGAAAGTCACACTTGAATAGCTACATATAAATTTTCTACTTCTTTGTAATACATGATCCATATTCAGAAGAAGAAAAGCAGGATAGCTAGTCTTTCCTTGAAGTTAGTATGTCACAATTAATCTGTTAACATTTTTTAAAGGATACTTTTGTGAGAAGGCCCTTTTGAAGTTTAAAATAATGAGGCTTGACAAAAAAAGCTTCTGTAATCATAGAACCATAGAATTTTAGGGGGCGGAATGGACCTTACAGATCAACTAGTCGCAACCCCCTGCCGTGGGCAGGGACACCTCCCCACTAGACCAGGATGCTCAAGGCCTCATCCAGTCTGGCTTTGAACACTGCCAGGGTCAGGGCAGCCACCACTTCTCTGGGCAACCTGTGCCAGTGTCTCACCACCCTCAAGGTAATATACTTTTTTCTAATATGCAACCTAAACTTCCCCTCCTTCAGTTTGAACCCATTACCCTATGTCCTGCCATTATAGTTCCTAACGAAGAGCCCCTCTCTGGGTCCCTTGTAGCCCCTTCAGATACTGAAAAGTTGCTATGAGGTCTCCACACAGTCTTCTCTTCTCCAGGCTGAACAGCCCCAACTTCCTCAGCCTGTCCTCACAGAGGTGATACTCCAATCTTCTTACCAACTTTGTGGTCTTCTCTGGACTTGCTCCAACAGTTCCATGTCCTTCTTATGTTGAGAGCGCTAGAACTGCACACAGTATTCCAGGTGGGCTCCATTGACCTGCTGGGCACACTCCTTTTGATGCCTCCAGGATTCAGTTGGCTTTCTGAGCTGCAAATGCACACTGATGGCTCATGGTGAGCTTCTCATCCCCTGTCACTCCCAAGTCTTTCTCCTCATCCTGGACTAATTGTAGTCCCTTCTGGGGCAGTATGCTATAAGAGGCTGTTTATTTCTTTGCTATTTTGTTTTTCTGCAGCAGTAGTGGTTTTGATAGAGTTGAAGTGTGAGACAACTAACTTGTATTTATATTATCAGCTCAGTAGTGATTGAGAATGTCCGTCACGTTCTCAGTTTTCTCACAGTTTTGAGGTTCTGTTCTGGAGTGTTCACTTTGCTTTGAATTACGTACCTGCTGGCGAAGCTTCTGAGAAACACCAGACTTGCTCTGCTAAATACCACAAAGATGGTTTTCCTCAAACTTTTCTCTCTCCAGAAATGAGAGCTTTTCTCAGCAGAAAGAGAACAATGTGAGAAAAAGTTGCTGTAATTGCAGTTTTTCATGCACAAAGAGAGGAAAATGGTTTCAGTTCACATTTTAGTTAGGCAGCCTGATTACACAGGTCTGCCATTGCTACAGGTTGTTAACATGGGAAACTGTAGTATTATCGTGTCCTGGTTTCTCCATATCCAAGTTGGCTGCTTTTCTCCACAGCACAACTCACACCCTTCTGAGTTACTGCCTACTTTATCAGATAGCTGAACGGAAATGTTCATTGACAGTGATGCACAAGAGGTTTTCTGGGCTAGTCTCATGGTCTTTCCTATCCACGCAGTGAACTTAGTTTTGGTAGAGGTTTACCTTGCATGCATAGCCATCTGCTCTTTCAAAATTGAAACTTAGAAACACATTTTCCGTCATTTTTGAAAGTTGTTGCTTGTTCTCCAAGGAACTGTGTTGGGAAAGGTGAAGGTTCTGCGCGGGGAAGCAAGTGGCCGACTCCGTGTGGGTGATACAGCAAGCTCCATCTTTATTGTCCGACAGGCTCTTTCTTATACAGTGCAGTACAGGCATACAATTATCAATCATTTTTAATTGGCTAGGCTCTAAAGATAGCATTCAGGTACTCTCCCTACTCACAGCTGCAGCTGTGTGGATTATCTCTTGCTTTCCCAGGCTTGAGTGCATTCCTAGCTGTTTTTCTCCTTGCTGTCTGTTTCACCCTCAAGGACGAGTTACCCCTGCCATCTGCCATCTGCCCAGCTGAGTTACTACCTATCTATATATAAGTTACTATCTCCAGAGCCTTGCTTGTACACTGCATTCCCAGGTGCGTTCCCAGGACTGTGTCTGTATGTTCCCAGGGGACTGAGGCCTAGCTCTTCTTGGCCTTCCCCAGGTGCGTACCCAGGAGCATGTCCAGCCATCCTACAACAGACTGCGTACCCAGGATCATGTCCCGCCATTCTACAACAGAACTGAAGTAGAAAACTCTGGGGAGCTCGAAGACTGCTTACCTGGGATCTTTCTCATAGCATAATGGGATGTATTACAGTTCCAAAAGTGGTGTGAGCCAGGGAAATTCCCACATATTACCTGAGGCAGACCAAAGCATAGATATCAGCCTAACTGTATTTTCAGAGAAACCAAATTAAGAGGAAATTACTTTCCTGTCCTGTTATGTTCCCCTGAAATTAGGGGCTATGATGTAAGCTATTTGTAGTGCCAGTGTGCCCTGTCCCTGTCAGTGTTCAAGGCCAGGTTGGATGGGGCTCTGAGCAACCTGGTGTAGTGAAAGGTTCTCTGCCCATCGCAGAGGGGTTGGAACTGAATGATCCTTAAGGTCCCTTCCAACCCAGACCATACTATGGTTCTATGGCTTGTGCTGTTGCAAGCCAAGTTAAGTCCTGGAAAAGCAAACTAAATCCTAAGCTTGAGATGGATCTAGTAATATCCTCACTGTGTCTGTGATTGTATCAAAGATAGGTTTTTTATTTTTTTATGGATTGGGGGTTTCGAAGAGGTGCCTGCAAATATTCCATTTCAAATTAAAAGTTACTGGGTGTTTGGTTTTCCTGTGCATATTGTTCTGCAGTGCAAGATAGCTCTGTCTGTACTTGTGTATCTGATAGTTGCCTTTGCTTATGCTGTGGTTAGGTTTTTGAGAAAGGTTCCTAAAAGTGGGCATCAGTTACTGTTATCACCAGCTTGATGTGAAACATCCTGTCTTGCCTTCCCAAAATCTCACTGATCCTTTGTCTGAAAATTATTAAATTGTATGATGTGACAGTAGCATGTCTCTACCTGTGCTAAAGTTTCAGTATAAACTGCATAGTCAATACAGTTCATTCACCTTACCCTTGAGTAGGCATCTAGCAGCTAGTCAGGCTAATTACTTTTGACTTCATTGGCTCATAGACAAGATCTTCATTGACTGCAGTGGGTTGACAGGTTTATACACCTTAATTCAGGTGCCTGCCTGTAGTTGTCATAATCTTTACTGTCTCAATTCCTGATGGTGGTGCAAGTACAGGGTCCTGCCTTCCCAAGTATGTTCCAAATATGTCCTGATGAGATTGCTGGTTATGTCTGCTTTTTCAGATTTGTTGGCTTAAGTTTTTAAACTACAGAAAGTGATATAAAAGCTTGGTTTGTAGGAAGGTGGTGTAGAAAATAATTTCTTTACATCTCCAATACTTGATCTCTCTTGTATAGTGAAAAATTCCCAAGTACCCTTTCAGAAGGAACAGGAAAGTAAAAAGGCTATGTATATGCAACAAATTCAGCTGTAGTTATTAATTCTGCAATGGGAAACAAGTTCCTCTTACTGAAATTAGTGTAACTGAGAAGTCCTTCTCTTTGCTGTTTTCCTGATGTTTGGTGTTTGGACTTCTCAGGCATTTTCTAAAGACTTCATTTTATGTAATGTGATTATTTCTGTTTTGGCAATGTACTGCTTTCAGTAGTTTGCATGTCCAGGGTAGCCTTTGTGTTAGATTTATCTCAAACTGCTGATAGTATTGGTGTAATGCCTGTCTGCAGTGTGTCTGATTCAAGACTGCATGAGGATCCTGCAGTCAGATATCTCCTTGTGAAAACTGTTGTGCTGTAGTACCATGTTGTACAGAGCATACTGCAATTTCTGTTACAGGAGCTCCCTATGCCCAGCCCCACTCTGTGTTTCCTGTCCCACTCTTCCTCAGCTTCCAGCCTTAATCCCAAAAGTGGGACAGTATTGTCTGTACTCACAATGTTTGGTACAAATTTTCTGTTTTCCAGCAGAATGCAGGATCATCAGTTGGTGTCTGAATCCTAGTTTGTGGGGTTTTGTTGGGGTGGGTGGGTGTGGTGGGTTTGTTTGGTTTTGTTTGTTTGTTTTGTTTGTTTTCATTATTTTGTTGGGATGGTGAACCCTTAGGAAGAAAGAAGACAACATTCCTCAGTCTTCTGTTTACCTTGTAGTTCACTCACCGTGTCACTGGAAGGTCCTAGCCCTCTACTTGAAGTTTAGGGACATTGCTGAAAGTGCTTAATGTGGAGAGCAGAAAAGAGGGCCATCTTTTCATAATCCTACTAACCCTTTGTCTGGAGGGAAAAAAGAATATGCTATCTTTTTGCTTCTGTCTTTAAGCTTACTTCTTGTCTTTAATTTGTGAGGGGATTAAGGATAAAGTTGTTCACTTACAAGATGTAAGGATTGGAGTTTCAGACATTAAATGGATTTCTTTGTCAACAGTAAATCTAAGATACTGATTAAAATTTGCTTTAAAACAAGACTCCCTCCTCTGTGGCCTTTAGCATTTTTTTCTACAGAACTCAGGTTTTGGTTTCAAGCGTAAATCAGATTGATGCCTCTTGGAGCAACAGTGCTCTGCATCCCCAGTTGAGATCAAGGGAGTACCTAGTATATTTATGAAACTGCATGTTGAATCCTTTAGATTGCTCTTTTTTTTTTCTGTATCTGCTAATAACCCGTTTTCTTTTGCAGACCCTTGTGATAATATGAGAGAGATTCTCCAAAATGTGGCCAAATTACAAGGCGTGTCGAATATGAGAAAACTGGGTCACTTGAATAATTTTACTAAGGTAAGAGCTCAAATAGCGTCATAGATCCTAGAGGCAAAATATTTTGTATTTACTCTGCCAGACATTGGCTGGGAGATTCATGAAGTCACTTGATACCCTGGAACAGTGCTCAAAATCTGCATACTGTGGGAGAGGAAGGTACCAAATAAGTACAAGAAAATATGTGAACACAGGGTTAAGCGGAAGTTTGTGGACATGACCTGCTGGCTGAATTTTTATAGTATTTTAGTGCTTAGAAGATTTAAATATCTGCCAGTTAATCGATTAAGTTGCATAAATAGAGCTGAAGATCTGTTCCTGCTGCACAGAATTGAATAAAAGAAGTGAAATGCCATACTTAATGGATGTAAACTGATTGAGTACAGTGAGGGGGAGGACTGTATCAATGAGCAGTGGTTTGGACACTAAAAGTATAGGAACCATCAGCTTTCACTGCAGTTTTCATAGTGAAAAAGATTTAGGGGGTAGATTTCTAGAAATGGTCTGCGTTGATGTTGTTTGAAGTGCTTTTTCTAGGTTTGTGATTCCAAATAATGAACACATGACAGGTTACGTGCCTGAGCATATGATGGATATTGTGAGCTGACGGAGGCAAGAATTAAACACTTAGTACAGGATAAAAGTGTAGGCTGGAGAAAGAAACCATGAAAGATATTCAGGACAGCAGTAACACTTTTTTGGTAAAAGAGAAGCCTGTGGAGAAGAGCAGAGAGGGCTTATGGGAGGTGAGCAGGAATTTAGGAAAAGGATGTTCATTGTAGCATACTGAATGGCTGTGGTTGGAACAGCATTCTGTTTGTCAAGACAAGTGAGAAGTGCATTGCAGACAGTGAGACATTGGAGCTTCAGTGTGAGGGGTACCCAAATTGATGGACTGATCAGCAGGAGTTGAGTACACCTTTCTGATAGTGCCACAGATAGGGCAACATGCCTGAAAATGTTAACAAGTTTCTCTGAGAGAGGTGGAGCCTGCAATCAGCAGCACCCAAGAGACAGGGTGTAGTAGTGGAGAATTTTGTGGGTTAAAAAAGGTTTAAATTATTGCTGTAGGTGAGCTTATTAAAAATAATAGTTCACAGTTTTGAGCCAGTCTTAAGCGAAAGAATGAATATTCGAAGGTTTGGGGAACCAGCTGATACGAGAAGGACAAACTTGCATGACAGTCTTTGAAGTAGACACCTTGGCTGCTAAAAGCACTGGTAAGATTGAGCAGCAGTTCACTGATAGTTATAAGGTTCAGTTAGCAGGAAATTGAGTACTGAGAACAAGATCACAATAACAAATAAATTCATCTTCTAATGCATTAATCTGTAAATGCTCCATTTTCTGGATTGGTTCGGAGCACATGTAGGTGCAGAGCATTCACTAAGTAACTGAACTAACACTGAAGTCTTTTCTTTGGGTCATTGCCTTGTGTCTGTCAGACATTGACCATTGACAGAATGCTGCTGTTCTCACTGAGATTCCAAACTGTGTTGCAAGAAAGCCCTTTATTCTGCTAGAAAAGTCTGATGCATAGCTGTGTTTTCCTTTTTTGTGATAATCTGGAAACTTTCAACTGTGAATGCTTCCAAATTCTGTAGATGTCTTAAAGAGCTGAATTACGTTTTCAGATGCACAATTTCTAGTGAACATTCAGTATGTGAAACTATGGACCTTAAAACAGTGTCAGTTTTGCTATTGAAAAATCAGATGTTCAGCACCCCTAAATGTGATAAATTACTAAATATGCTGCAAATAAAAGTTGAACCAAAAATTCTTTTTAAAAGAGAGTTTTCAAAAAATATTTGAATAATTCCATAATTGAATATTTGGAGAATTTGGAGGTTTATTTAAGTTAATGTTAAAAATAAA